ATGGTGTATGATCCAGGAACGCTGATTCAGTCGCCAACAACTGATTGGGTTATGCGTCGCGGTCTGACCGATCGTACCGTCTGGCCAGCAATGGCGTCTATGGCACAGAGGATATGTGCTGAAATGGTTCAAGTGGATGAAATGAATGCCCAGCTAGGGACTGGAGCACTCCTTTTTCAAAGGAGAGATCAAGGATACTATTGTGATTTGCATCATTCGTTCCATGACAATCCGTGCTTGCCGGCGGTGGGAAATTATCCTCTTTCGGTGATGGGTGCATTGTTATCTCCTGGTCTGGAAGGGGAATTCAAAAATACTGATAAGTTTGGAACTGCTATGGAGGCAATTGCCTATGATTGGAGTCGCAGTCCAGGCATGGAAGTTCACATTGAACTTATGGCGAGGGTAGCCAAATTGGTTCATCCATTCCTTACCCTCGGAGCCCAAGGGTCAGTGATGGTTTCGGAATTTCTCTGGCAGCTCGGGAGGGCCCAGTTGATGGAGTTCCTTCAGGCGGCGACTTGCGCTGATCAATTGGAGGTTCTCTGGAGAAGGATGGACGACGATGCTGATGAAGAAGTGGATCCTTCGACAGCGGTGCTGGAAGTTCTCGGACCGGAGGATGCGGTACTTGATCAAGGGAGCAATGAATCCCTTATCCCTATTGAAGATGCTGGAGGTGAGACAATTGGTGACACTGGAAGGGATGGCAAAGCGCCAGAAGTTTCTCCGGAAGAGGAGACATCCAGTGGGTCATCAAGACTGGCGGACACAAGGATTTTCTTGTGGTCAGTGTACTCCCGCGTGGCTTCTAATTTCTCTATGCAGGACCGCACTACTGGTAAGATCTTTGACAGCACAAAAGGGTATCCTGGTGAAGGACCAAACAATGATGACAATTCTTCCTCTAAGAGGAACTTACCCTGGATCTCGGAAGACTACCTCGACGAAGTGGTGTCAAAAAAGATGGAAAGGTCTTCAGATATGGATGGGTTGGATGGGTTTGTTCCGGGAAGTGAGGGACCGTTGGAAAAGGTAGAGGTGGAGAATGTTACTGCCTCTAAAATTCTTATGGCTCTTTGGAAGAAGGGATATAGAGCTGGGTATAGGAGGTTGTGTCGTTTGAACGCATCTGGATGCAAGGTTGGAGCAATGAAACGTCCAATCAAAAGGGTGCAGAAGATCGGCGCTAGAAAGGCCTTCATGAAAATGTTCAATGTTTTTGGATCGTCTCAGCATGGCTCAGGAGCTGGCGGAAAACCAATCATGAAGGTGGTAGGACCAAGGCCAGGTTTTCCAGCTGTACTCCAAGCATCAAATACTGATAGCACCTTGGGTGAAGGGAGCAGTTCTCAGGCACATGGCAATGTTCATGTAGAGCAGAATCGCCCTATGGATCGGTACGAGGCAGAGCGCTTGGAGAAGAGGAAGAAAGGCTTCTGCTATTGGTTCAGCAAGGGGAAAGATCGCTGCAAATTTGGTGAAGACTGCAAATTCATCCATTCAGAAGATGATGTGGTGCTGCATTCGTATTGGTGCAAATACTATGTGGCGGGGAGACCCTGCTTCGCTGGAAAGGAGTGTGAGTTCTCGCATGATGCAACTGGTGTGAGGTGCATCCAGTTTGCTCGGTCTGGGAAGTGTCGTTATGGTGACAGGTGTGTTTTCGAGCATGGTGTTCCGCTGGATGAACAGAGGCCAAGGTCTCCAAGGACGCCCCCAAGGGATGGTCCAAGGAGAAGTTCTGGTGCAAATGGTGGAGAAAAGGAGATCTCTCCTGAACAGTTCGATGATGGTGAGGAGGATTTTATGGTTTATGACGATGATACCAAAATGACGGAACTGTTGATGGAGGCGATTTCATTTCTGTCCAATGGCCAGCCAGATTTGGCTCGAGCAGAGGCGGACCCATTGTTCAAACTCCTGAAGTTCACTGGAGATACTGACCAAATGGATCAAGAATGGGTTTCGTGGACCAATGGTATGTTGTCCGTGCTGGAACTTCACGAAGTAGTGAAGTCGTATGATGTTTCGCTCGCGGAGGTGGAAGAATGGGTCAATGACCTGAGGATATGGTACGAGCGAGCCAATTTGGGAGAAGAGAAAGATTCCAAAAGAGGCAAAAAGAGGTCCCTAGAAAGGGAGTCCAGCAAGGATATTCCTGCAGAAAAAGAAGTGGTTGAGACTTCGGAGACGGAGGTTGCCGTTGAGGAGGAGATGAAAAAGGTCAAAAAGAAGAGGAAAGCTGCAGCTATCGAAGATCCTTACACTCTCATGGTTCCAAAGCCGAAGAAGATGCCGGCGATCATTGAGAAGGGTGGATCATCATCCAATGTGGTGGTCTCTGCAGTGGAAAAAGCCTCGAAAATGCGCACAAAGTCAAATGTCGGTGGAAAGACAAAGAAGAAGGAGAAAAGTCAGAGTCCCAAAAAGGAAGAGGTGGTAATGGTGCAAGGTCCTGAGGAAAAGGATCGTCCATCTGATGCGGATGCACCAGCGTCTACCACTGTGAATGCGGAGCTGGGTCAATCTTGCCAAGCGATTGAGGACGCAAAGAGAGAAGGATTGGTATCCTCAATTCAAAGGTGCGTGCAGGATCCTGTTCTTACAGTTTCGGACCTGGAGTATATTCTGCTGCAACTTCACCTCAAAATTGCCAACAATCGGAAAAAGAAGTGATTGGATGGTATGGATGAAGGGATGGTTTTTCTCTTTCTGGAGACAGGTGCGCTGGAACAGCCAATGTGCTGACAATGTGGTGGTTACTATTAAGGGTATGGAAATCCCTGATAGTAGAAGTCAGTAGTTTTTCGCGTAGCGAAGACCACGGTTTGTGGTGAAGAAGGCCGAAGAGTCTTCAATGATAAGAGGATCATGGTGGAAAAAGATTCTCTGTGGTTAGTGGGTTTAGCCAATGTGCTATAATTTCGTCCTGGATGACGTAAAACCATATTGTGCATTTCAAGCAGCTGGCTGCTGCCTTAATGGCAGTTTTTGGCCAAAAGATCTGCACCTCCAATGTGTCCTAGGAAATCCTAGGACAGGGGGAGTGCGGAGCTGCAACTGGTATTGTAGAAAGGAGTTAGTGTTGGGGGTTGGAAGGGTCAATGAACCCGGAAATCTTGTATGGCTCAAGATGGCCAAGAGCCGTCAGCTTTTGTTGAAAAAGTACGTACGTCTGGGGTTGGGTTTAACGGGTTGGAGTAGTCCCGTCCCTTCTCCCTTATCCTGTCCCCGTAGGGGTGGGTGTTCTTGTTTCTGGTTCGATCTGGGAAATCCATATAGGCGACTGTTGAGGGTTGGTTTCTTTTCCTGTTCCCTTTCGGTTGCCCCCGTACCCTAAACCCTAAACCCTAAACCCTAAACCCTAAACCCTAAACCCTAAACCCTAAACCCTAAACCCTAAACCCTAAACCCTAACCTTAAGCCCTAAACCCTAAACCCTCACGGATGGAGCTTTCGCTGGCAGTGGCACTGAAGTAGGGGCCTCAGAAAGGATCATTGCGCATCCTTCAGCTATAAGATGCGGGGAGTCCGAGGCTTCCTAAAGGCTACCGCGTACGTGATTTAGGGTTTAGGGTTTCGGGTTTAGGGTTTAGGGTTTGGGGTTTGGGGTTTAGGGTTTAGGGTTGGAAAACCCACACTGAACGCGCGAATCCAACATCCGAACTCTGGGTGTAGACCTCGAATCGCAAGCTAGATACCCGAAACCCCAAACCCTAAACCCTAAACCCTAAACCCTAACCCCTAACCCTATGCAGCAGAAGCTCTAAACTCGGATGGCCCTGGCGCACTGTCTGCCTGGCTTATTAGTAGGTCGACAGGCACATGTCACAGTTCGGCTCGAGCCGCCGTGGTTTGGGAAACCCACGAAACCTGCACCCTGTCGGGTTCACTACATGTTGATCCCTTGTTGGGGTCCCGGAGATGTCGTTCGTGTGTTACATGTTCCTGATTGTAGGGTGTGTATAGTGTGTATATATTCTTATGCATGCTCCATAATGAACCCAAACTCCAACAAGGGACCTTAATTCAGAGGACGCCTTGCACGCCTAAAGCTGAAACCATATACTAAGCCCCAGAAGCCCTGAACTTAAAAAAGAAACAACAAAAAAAAGAACACGCTTACCCTAAACCCTAAAATAGAACCTTACCTAAGCGCTGAACCCTGAATTGGACCTCGCCCGGGTGGCCATGCTGCCTCAGGTTAGTCAAGGGGTTTCGGGTTCAGGGTTTCGGGTTTCGGGCTTAGGGTTCAGGGTTTAGGCTTTAGGCTTTAGGCTGTGGGGTTGAGGGTTTAGGGTTTAGGGTTTAGGGGTCGTATGACGAGCAGCCGTGGCCATGGACTCCCAGCGAATGCTGCTGGGGCTTGTTCTCGGTGCTGCGACTGTGGCTGGCCGTGGCGTCGTGCGCAGGCGGACAGGTATGCATTCGCAAGAGTTTTGGTACGACCACGTGTATACATATGCATTTGTTCATATACATCTACATATGCATATATATGGGAGGGTAAACTTTGCATATAACACCCACATATGGTTATATATATATATATATGTATATATATATCGATCTATTTTGCGACTTATCTGTAGAGGACCTCTTCTTGGTCCAGGCAAGGTTCGAGGCTTCGGCAGAGGGCCACTGTTTTGTTGGGATTCGTGCACTCCAAAACCGTAAACCCTACTCTCCAAGACCAACTCACAGGCACCCCTAAACCCTAAACCCTAAACCCTAAACCCTAAACCCTAAACCCTAGGGAAGCGCTACAGAGGCCCTGTCTCAGGCAGACCGGCATGAGAATGGTGGGCGAGGTGTCTGCCTTGGGAGGCACAGGTGTGCATCCAGGCCCCTCGCTGTGCTGCCAGGAGCTGTTATTTGGAGTCTCTGGGTTGTCAGTACTCCCACTCTTGATTGCGGTCTCTGACGATTCCGTGATGGCTCTGGAATACTGTTTGGACATATGATGTAAGTATAGAGGTGTGGGAATCGCTTGGAGCATGGAGCTAAGCCTGCACTCCATTCCTACTAACTGCTTAAGAACACCGAAAGAATAAAAGAAATAATAATCCCTATATGATCCCATATAAGGAAGAATATTTTACATTTTTGGGTGGGCCTTATAAGGAGGAATATTTTACATTATTACTTTTTTTTTTTTTGGGGGGGGGGGGGCTTAAGCAATCGGTAGACTCCAAGGTGTTGAAGAAGATGCCCCCGTTCCGGACGAGGAGTTCCCCACCATGCTCCTTCAAGCAAAGGGCGACTTGGTAGCCCAGCGGTACCCTTGTTTCCCTTTTTTTGTTTTAAGGTTCCCTTGTACAGTACCCCTAAACCCTAAACCCTAAACCCTAAACCCTAAACCCTAAACCCTAAACCCTAAACCCTAAACCCTAAACTAGAAGATGGTTACTGGGCCACCATGAAGGAGACTGCTTGAAGGGGCACGTGGGTTGCCTCCCCGCCTTGACGAAGTTGCGTCGGGCAATTTGGCCCAGGACCTGACCTTATAGGGTTTAGGGTTTAGGGTTTAGGGTTTTCAGGGTTTAGGGATAGGGTTCTTAAGGGAGGGGGGTTATGCTCATGAAGGCTCCCTAAGCTTCCCTAAGGTTTGCCTATAGGCACCAACCCCCCATGGGCCCCCTCTGTTAAGAACCCTATCCCTAAACCCTAAACCCTAAACCCTAAACCCTAAACCTCACAATGACCCCCCAACAGCCCCCAATAGTGCTCTTTGCGTGCTTTCTAAGCTTTAGGGACGCCCTGGCTGTTCTCTGAGAAGCAGGCGAACACAGCATTTCCTCCTGATCCATTTAGGGTTTAGGGTTTAGGGTTACATCCCAAGTACCTCAAGTTAACATCCTGAAATGCTAGGAACCTCCAAGTACAGAACACCAGCAAGATGCTGCAGGATCCGCGCAGAGATCGCCTGGCAGGGCGCCCCATTTTGGCCGCGCGAGATCGACGGCGAGGACGCAACTGATGCCCTTAACTCGTACTGAAGAGACGTCATGAAGCTTGCTACGGGGACGATTCGCGCAGCTGCGAACCCCTAAATCCCAGAACCCAAGATCGAATTTGTGAATCCCTGCGCTGCCAGCAACTTTGACCAGAAGGCATGTCATAGCCACGTTCCCCTCCATGCCTTTGGTGCTTGTAAAGGCTTTTCTCAAGTTCTTTGTGGTATTTGCGCAGATGGCAGTCTAGCCGGCAGGTAGCGGCTAGTAGAGGGTTCGAACCTTCAACCCCCTGCAGACGATGCACCCCGAGCCTTCGTCCGACCGAGTAGAACTATACCCTTGTTAGCCCAGTGGTGCCCTTTACCCTTTGTTTTGATTCTGGGTTCCCTGATAAAGTAACCAGCCAACAAAAACGAGTACCCTTATCACAATATATGGTTTCTACCCTAAACCCTAAACCCTAAACCCTAAACCCTAAACCCTAAACCCTAAACCCTAAACCTCATACCTCATAGGCCCTAAACCCTAAACCCTGCTGTGCTGGTTAAGCCTTCCGCCCTACTAGGAGTTCATCGGTGAGCTGCACGGTCCCTGCACAGGACCAGCCTTGAAGAAGTCCTGTCCCCCACAAGAGAAACGGCCCTGTGAACCTGTGAACCCATCCCAGAACCCAGAATCCTAAAAAGCGCTCCAAGCCCTAGGGTTTAGGGTTTAGGGTTTAGGGTTCAGGGCTTAGGGTTTAGGAATTTGGGGTCTCATGAACTAAACTCTACCAGACCCCGGCAGCCCCAAGGAGCTGAGGTACTGAAGCTGTGGCCAGTTGCTTTCTGCCCCAAGCCTCAAGGGAATTGTTTTTTGCTTTTGTTCATATAAAACCCAAGAGGATATTAGAAACACTATCTTTATGAAGGTTCTAAGGGGAGTATAGAAGCAGGGACCAGGGGCTACTTAGGTATAGGTATATGGGGACTACATAAGGTCTATACAGGGGTTGTTAAGACTAAGGATTTGTTCTAAGGGTCTCTCCATATACCCGTTAGAAGCCCTGACCCCAATTCCGCGCAAACCCCTCCAGCTGTGGGTTGGCGCGTATGACCCCTTCCCCCAAGCACGTAAGTCCCCAACCTACAATTATGATTCAGCACATCGTCATGCGACTCGCGAAGATGCAATACAGCAATGAGTGCTTCAAGAATGCCAGAAGAAAGAGAAAAAAAAAAAAACACCCTAGCTGTAAGCTCGCCCGAAAAGGAGTGAAGGGTTGTTAAAAAAAAAAAAACTGGAAAAAAAAACTCCCGGCTCCAAATCCCAATCCCAGGCCCACCTCTCCGGAACCACTCCCGACTTAAGGGTTGGGGGTGGGAGGGTTTTGGTTCGGGATTTAGGGCTTAGGGCTTAGGATTTAGGGTTTAGGGTTTAGGGTTTAGGGTTTAGGGTGTAGGGTTTAGGGTTTAGGGTTTAGGGTTTAGGGTGTAGGGTCGGCGCTTTTCTTGTCAGTCTTCCCTCTGAGAGAGAGCCAGATTCGGATGTTGAAATCTTTCGGTTCCTGCACCCGAACCCCTAAACCTTGGGTTCCGAGTTCCGGGTTTAGGGTTTAGGGTTTAGGGCCGGGTTTCCCTATAAACCCTAAACCTTGGCCCTAAGCCCTCGCCGTAGCCATTTTGACTCCAGGTCGAGTGCTTCTTTTGGCTCTGGTTTGTCATGGGCTCGTTTGGGAACCTCCGGGGCCAAAAGGATTCGATGGCTCGTGTACCTTGTTATGTAGGAATTACATCATAGGGTGTATACAACGGATTATGGTTCATATACCTTATATATAGGAATTCTAGGCTATGGTTTATATACCGTATCAAAGGGTGTATACAAAGGGATTGTGGTTCATATTCCTTCGTAGGAATTACATTATATGGGGTAAATGGCCTCCAAGTTTAGGGATCATTTGGGAGTCCTCGCGGGCTGAATCAGCAGGAGGTGGAAGCTTGTAAAGAGCATTTTCAGGCCATTCAAACAGGGCGGGGGGAGATCAATCCCGAGGTGTGGTGGATGTTGAGGAGCGGGCAGAAGCGAGTTTTCTGGAAGATGTACCTTCCTTGGAGGAGGTGCGGCGGGTATGTCGGGAAATGAAGCGAGGAAAGGCGGGCGGGGTCCATGGCAATGAAGTGGCGGATCGGTTGGCAGACACAAATTCTCAGGACAGGGTTTCCTCATGCGCTGGAGTGGGTCACGAGGCCAGAGGGCCCAATGGGGGCTGATCCCCGGCTGGGGGCTGATCCCCGGCCGCTAGAGCCTCCCGAGCCAGCCCCTAAAACCGGCGGCGGCTCAGCCAGTTGGGCCGAGGTTGGGCCTGCTTGCATATTATCGGTCCTGCGACCTGCCTCAACACCAAACCCGATTGCCAGGGCCCGGATACGCAAATATTGCGGGCACCGTCCTGGCACGGAAGAACCTCGAGAGATACTCACATGCGGAGGAGGCTTTTCGCGACAAATTGATAGGCAAACTCTCGAAGAAACGTTCTGGCAAGTGACTTAGGGGGGGGGAGTCGTGTTTCGTCTCACGCGGAGGTCGTGTTCGAGGGGAGGTTTTGCGTAGGGACGCATGTGCATTCAACTGGCTCGCCTTTTCTTGGCTCAGGCCGTTTTTCGTGACTCGCATTTTCCGATACGCACCTTTGCTCCCTGTGTTCCTAGCCACCATCGCGTTGCATCGCCCATGGCAGAGGCTCAACGAAAGCGAAAAAGTCGGTGAGTTAGAAAAGCGCGTGGGCACCCTGGAGCAGGGACAGAGTAATTTGGGGGAACGTTTGGAGAGAGTCGAGCTCCGGGTGGCAGAAATCCAGTCGTACAGGTTCCTCCGCATCGAAAACAGTGACCACCTTCGGGACCTTTTTTGAGCGTGTGGATGCTCGGGAGGTTGAGCCGTCAGAGTGCAGTTTTGTGTGATCGTCTGTTTTGTCCATGTCTCAAGAATGACCGACGTGTCCATTGGTTGCGAGCACATCAGCAGGTATGGTCATGGTGCAGGGACTACCGCCGTCGCCCACTTCTTCTTCCCTAAACCCTAAACCCTAAACCCTATAAACCCTAAACTTTTTCATTTGGCCCTCAGGGAACAGAAGCTTCTGGTGGCCGGCTGCTTCCTCTGGACCATATAGCTGCTGAAGCCCATCTAAACCCTTTCAAACGTACACTAGGGTTTAGCGTTTAGGGTTTAGGGTTAAAGTGTAGGGTTTAGGGTTTAGGGTTTAGGGTGTAGGGTTTAGGGTTTAGGGTTTAGGGTTAAACGCGTCATGCACGCACGGCGCACACGCGCATCAATGCCTACATCACGTGATTCTCCATCCTGTCGCTCGCCCTACCGTTTTCCCCGCAGTGCGTGGCTAGGAAGCCGGCAAAAAACCTCTAAGCCCTAAAACCCCTTATTGAAGGGTTCTCATAGGGAACCTTGGGTTATATACCAGCTAAGAAGTCCCCTCAGTCCTAGATACTGTTTAGGTACATGGAGCCTTAGGGTACCCAAGCTCTAAATCCTGCAAAACGTTAATATGGTCATAGGTGGGTTACAAGTGCTCCTCAAACTGCCCCATGTTAGGAGCGCAAAGCGTGTACTACCGGCACGTGTGGAAGGCGGGATGACTTGGTTTCGGGTGTAGGGCTTCGGGTCTCGGACCGGATGTGGGGTTAGGGTAGGCTGAGGGTGGTGTTGGATGGGATGGGGTTCGTAGTTTTTCGGGATAGTGGTGGCGGTAGCTGTTGAGCACATCCAGCACGCGGGGATGTTCAGGTCCCTGCCCGGCCCTCTCCCTACACCTCCAGCTGCTTAAAAATGGGTGTCTTTGGGATATCCTAGCAACCGATATAGTGGCTTGGTAGCTGAGTGAGCACACTTTACACTTTTTGGTATACTATAAGCCCCTATATAGAACTGAAAGTGTACACTTTTTTGGGGCTTCTGAACTCAGCAACCCATATAATGGGCCCCTGGAACAGACTCTCCACGCAGACTCTGGCTTCATCATCGTTGGTGCACTGGGTGTAGGGTTTAGGGTTTAGGGTTTAGGGTTTAGGTTCAACCCTGTAAACCTGAAATTGATCCAAGCACCTAGACTCCTGCAAGCTCCCGAGCCGGACCCTGCGTCAAAGGGTTTAGGGTTTAGGGTTTACGGTGTAGGGTCTAGGGTTTAGGGTTTAGGGTTTAGGGCATCGCAGTTGACAAGCAGAAGCCTTCGGCTACAAGTCTTCAGCCCATGCTACAACCCCCAGAGCCTACACGCTAGCATCCAGAACTTGACCTGCCCGAGTGCCCCGACCCAGCAACGCTAAACCCTAAACCCTAAACCCTAAACCCCAAACCCTAAACCCTAAACCCTAAACCTCATTGGCCTAATCCTCCTTCCGCCTCCCCAAATTAGCCCTAGAAGCCTAACCCCTAGCCCGAAACGCTGGCCCTATTGCGCGGAGCTCAACAAGGTTCGGCCCTCCAACTGAATGCCAAACGTTCCCCTGCACCCTAAGTAGGTAAACCCCGAAACCCTATACTCTCTAGATGGGAGGCCGTCTGAAGGCCGAAGTGGCTTTTCTGGTTGGGGGATTCGGATAGAAAACGATCCCCCCCCCCTCTCTCCCTCTGCAAGATGAGGCGTGTTTGTCGGTCCAAGTTTCCAATCCCCAACCCCTAAACTCCTTCAAGCACCCGAAATCCCTAACCCCCTAAACAACCCCTAAACCCCTCTGACCCTCCAACCCTCCAACCCTCGAACCATTTAACCCTCTAACCCTCCAACTATCTAACCGCCTCCAACCCTCCAACCCTCCAACCCTCCAACCCTCCAACCCCCGCTCCAACCCCCCCAACCCTAACCCCTAAACCCTAAGCCCTAAGCCCTATACCCTAAACCCAGCAACTTCTCTTGGGATCAGGCGGCCGGGCAGACCATCTTTCGGAACCTCGAGCGCATGAGCACGCCCATCCTCCAGGCGACATTGTGACTTGAGGTTTCGGGGTTTAGGGTTTAGGGTTTCGGGTTTAGGGTTTGGGGTTTAGGGTTCAGGGTTTAGGGTTAAAGGTTTACAGGGTTTAGGAGCGGTTGTGTTTTTTTTTTTTTTTTTTTGGGGGGGGGGGGTGTTTTGAGGGTTTAGGGGTTTTCAGTTTTCTAGGGTTTTAGGGTTTCAGGGTTTCAGGGTTTTAGGGTTTTAGGGTTTTTGGGTTTTTGGGGTGTAAGGGTTTAGGGAGTGTTTGGGGCGTGCCTCAATGCACAAGTCACGCGTGAGTGCTCCAATTTGCCATGTCGAGGGCGTGTTCAGGGTTCAGGGGCCGCGGGTGTGGATTCGCAAAAAGGGTTTAGGGTTTAAGGGTTTAAGGGTTTAAGGGTTTAAGGGTTTAGGGTTTAGGGTTTAGGGTTTAGGGTTTAGGGTTTAGGGTTTAGGGTTTAGGGTTTAGGGTTTAGGGGATCTTGCAGGGGCCCCCTCTGCCCCATGTGCCCGGACTTGCGGTGCTCAGCGCCCGAAGCGGCGAGCTTTGCAGCGCCAACCCTTGCCAAAGGCCGGCCTGCGCTACCCGGAGTTCTGCAAGGACTGCCCGGTTTAGGGTTTAGGGTTTAGGGTTTAGGGTTTAGGGTTCAGGGTTTAGGGTTTAGGGTTTAGGGTTTAGGGTTTAGGGTTTAGGCAGAGTGCACTGAAGCCTTTCCTCAAGGCTCCAAGGGCTCCAAGAACTCTTATTCAAGGCTTTTTGGGCCCAAAGACATCATGATATAAGGTCTTTGGGGCTATTTTGAGCCTCAGGGTTTAGAACCCTCAAGCGCTATGCCCCAAAGCCCTAAACCTCACGATAAGCCCAAGAACCATACAAAACTCCAGCAGCCACTTAGTTGAGCCCCAAAACTTCTTTAAACTCCAACACCTCTTGCAAGCCCTAACCCCTCAACCCCTCTGGCCTCTAAGACCTCAACCCAGAAAGCCCGATGAAGCCCTGAAGCTCGAAACTGCACTTGGAGGTTCATGGTACTTTAGTAACCCAGTTATAACTGTACTTAGAACCCAATTATCACCCTTTTAGGGTACTTCAGGGGCTTATGTGTGGGTTATAACTACCCTTACACAGGGTTACTACTTCAGGGGCTTATGTGTGGGTCATAACTACCCTTACACAGGGTTACGAAGTATCCCTGAACCTCCGAGCAGACCTGCGGCTCCGCCTCTTGGTGGGAAGCTCGACAGATTTGCAAAACCCTAAACCCATCCTAAACCCTAAACCCTAAACCCGAAACCCTAAACCCTAAACCCTAAACCCTAAACCCCAAACCCTAAACCCTAAACCCTAAAAAAGGCTTTGGGGTTGTGTGGCCCCGGGGTCCTGCAGGAATGATGGTGTTTTGAAGAACTTGCAGACCCCAAGCTCTCCTAACCCTTGGGGTCCAGAAGCAAGAGCGTAAATAAGTCTGAAGGGTGGGTTTAGGGTTTAGGGTTTAGGGTTTAGGGTTTAGGGTTTAGGGTTTAGGGTTTAGGGTTTAGGGCGCATACTTCCTAAGCCTTTGCTTCTGCATACTCTTCATATTCCTGATGCTCATACACAGTCCGAAGAATCAGCTCCCTGCAGTGATTGTGGGGTCTGGTTGGTATCACACAAGCAGCTAGATTGCCCGGAGCCCAGTATTCAAAAGGGTTTCGGGCTGTGGAACCACGAAAGCAGACCCTAAACCCTAAACCCTAAACCCGAAAGCAAGGACTTTCAGGCAGATCGCAGCATGAAGAAGCCGGGCATCTCCTTCACCTTTGTGCGGGATCCGCTGTCGCGGTTCTTCTCTGGCTACGCAGACCCTTGGAAGCAGCAAGGTCATTAGGGTTTAGGGTTTAGGGTTTAGGGGTTTAGGGTTTAGGGTTTAGGGTTTAGGGTTTAGCTTGTTCGGGATGGTTTTGGGTATGGTGCTCAAGCGGGCTACATCGCCAGTGCGTACACACGTGCTATGGGGAGATTCGCGCAAGCCTAACCCTTAAAGACCCCAAAGGCCCTGAATCATGAAACATCCAAGGACATATAAACCCGAAGCCTTTCCATCCCTGAACCATGAAACATCCAGGTAGAGGGTTGAGGGTTTGGATCGTGCCAATAATGTTTTGCGTTGCTTTTCTGGGGGGTTATTTCGCCCAGAAAAACCCTAAACCCGAAACCCTAAGCCCTAACCCTAAACCGCAGTGACCAGAAGTCTTGCGCCGTCAAGAGGAGATCGAACATCGGCTGGCCGCTGGCTTTGCAGACTCCTGGTGGCATTCTTCAGCGTTTTCCGCGGGGTTCTTGAGGGTTTAGGTTCAGGGTTTAGGGTTTAGGGTTTAGGGTTTAGGGTTTAGGGTTTAGGGTTTAGGGTTTAGGGTTTAGGGTTTAGGGTTTAGGGTGTAAAGTTAGCAGAAAGGGTTTCGGGCTAAGTCGTGCAGGGTTCAGAGTTCAGGGCGTCGGAGGAGTGGGGGAAAGGGTTGCATTTGCAGTCTATGTGCTGCCTTATGCCTCCACCTACAAACTCGGAGCACGTGCCAGCTAGTTGCTAGATGAGTTCTGCAGTTTGGGGGGGGGAGGGGGGGAGGGGGGGGTGCCCAGTCGATCTGCTAGGTTTAGAGATACCTTAAGCGACAAGCTGCAACAGAAACGGCGAGAGCACTCGAAGAACAAAGTAGAAAAATCAAACAGATGTTTAAACCTTCAGCCGCGAGCACACCCAAAACTTTCCTAAATCCTACTAAACCCTAAACCCTAAACCCCAAACCCTAAACCCTAAACCCTAAACCCTATATAAACCCTAAACCCTAAACCCTAAACCCTAAACCCTAAACCCTAAACCCTAAACCCAAAGCTTCCCTGGAAGCGGATGTCTCGACATCGGACTTGACAAGGGCCCAGAAACGAACGCCCTTTGGCACCCGTATACTATAGGGGTCGAAAGAATGCTAATAGTATTCCCTTATGGTCCCTTTGTAGCTATACTACAATAAACCCCCCCCCCCAACCCTATTCTAGTTATTCAGACCGCTATATTAGCGTATCGTGCTGGCCATGGAGAAGAGATCAGAGGGCACTCACGACATGGGATGCTTCGAGGTCTAAAAGCGCTAAATCCCTAAACCGCAAAAAAAGCCCTAAACTCTAAACCCTTAACCCTGCTTCAGCGAGTGCGAGAGTCGCAACCCTGAACCCTGAACCCTAAACCCTAAACCCTAAACCCTAAACCCTAAACCCTAAACCCCTGGCATGGCATGCGCCATTGCACACAGACCGAAACCAAGAGCCTCGCCTTCCTGTGCTACTCTCAGTGTAGAATGCTAGGCGAAACCCGAAACCTTAAACCAGGGTTTAGAGTTTAGGGTTTAGGATTTAGGGTTTAGGGTTTAGGGCCTATAGGGTTCAGGGTTTATGGTTTCGACCCTCGCCCTGAGCGACTTCGCGCCAGCTGTTGCGGGAGCGCACCCAAAACCGACAATGAGCCGGGAGGACTACTTGCACCTCCAGGACGATCTGCAGCCCTTTGCACGGGGCACGCGGGAGCGCGGGAGAGCCACTGGGCTGAGATCGGCAGAGTGGTCAGGCTTAGGGGAACTCTTTGGTGGGTTTAGGCTTTAGGAAGCAACGGGGATGAGTATAGGTAACCTTTGTGAAACTTTCAAGGGGGTTGAGGGGGGTTGCGTAGGCAACCTTGTGAAGTTCTTGGAACCCTAAACCCTAAACCCTAAACCCTAAACCCTAAACCCTAAACCCGAAACCCGAAACCCGAAACCCGAAACCCCAAACGAACATGAATGAAGCCCCAATAGCTGAGTTTAGGGCTCTAGGGTTCTGGGTGTGAGGGCTCCCCGTGCTTAGATAAAAGACTGTTCGTGGGCCAGGGCTTAGGGTTTAGGGTTTAGGGTTAGGGTTTAGGGTTTAGGGTTTAGGGTTTAGGGTTTAGGGTTTAGGGTTTAGGGTTTAGGGTTTAGGGTTTAGGGTTTAGGGTGAGTCCCCAAGCTCTCGGGCCTGCATCCGCCCTACTTGAGAGCTGAGGCCTTCCTCGAAGCCTTCCTAAGGACGGGGGGCTACTTGGAGTTTCCTGGTACTTAGTAACCCAATTGAATCTGTACTTCTAACCCAACTATAACCCCCTTAGGGTATTTAAGGGGCTTATATGTGGGAGTATCACTCTACACGTATACAGGGCAACTACGTACCTGAACCTCCAAGTATTCCAAGATGCCCCCGTATGGCACCACCCTGCTTCCCTTTTAACACATGTGTTTAGGTTTGGGGGGCCTGCTTGCCTTTTTAGGTCCGCACCAGCCCCACTTCATGCAGGAAGCAACTGCTAAACCCTAAACCCTACACCCTTTTTAAACCCTGACCCTTCCTTGGTTTCTGGGGCGACCCCCTTTTTCCATTTGCAAGATGTTTGTTTTGCCTTGGACTACCTCTTTGCCCTCAGGATTGTGGACTGTGCTAGGGACCGTTTTGAAGAACCTTTTAGGGTTTAGGGTTTGGGGTTATCTCGCAAGACAGGGGTACCCCTAAATTGCCCACCAACACTATAGTCCTTTACGCTGAAGCACTACATCAGTTTCGGACACGAGGGCGATATTCGGAGGATGTTCTGGCCTCATGGTAGAAGTTTGGATTCCAACCAAGCAGGTTGCTGAGCAAAATGCGCACTGCATCACGTAGCAGTCCACTGCATCAAAGTCTTCCTGGCGGCCTCGGGGGGGGGGGGGGGGGGAGGCAAATTGGGGGTGCCCTTTTCGGGGTCCCTTTTTAAGTTTAAGGGGATTCTATTCTTTTTGGAGTATATAAGGGTGCCCCTATTTTGGGGAAAGAAGCCAGTAAAAAGAGTATCCATAAACCCTTCATAGCTCCTGATGGAACCACTCCTCCTATGTCATAGGCTACCGAGTAGGTAGTTTCTCACCTTTTCAGGTATTCTACACCCTTGAACACTATTGAAATGTCGACCAGTAGGTGGGCAAATGGGGAGAGGGCGGCATGCACAAGAGTTGTGGGTGCGGTTGGGCCCTAAACCCTAAACTTCAAACCCTAAACCCTAAACCCTAAACCCTAAACCCTAAATCCTAAAGCCTAAACCCTAGCAGATCAGCCCGGGTGGCATAAAAGCTTCTCACGCCTGAGGAAGCTTTGGAGTGCAGTGCAGGGGGATTAGGCAAGCCAGGACCTGGAGTCTGTTACTTCGTTTTTTTTAGGGTTTAGGGTCTAGGGTTTAGGGTTTGGGGTTTAGCGTGGCGCTGCCGCAGGAATGCCATCAACCACGATGGAATCTTGGCTGGACTTGTAGGGATTTGGGTTTCGGGGTCCTGCTTGGACGTTCATGGGTATTTACGCAACTCCTATCCGGACGTCTATCCCAAGCGTGGCATAGAGATAGGGGTTTAGGGTTTATAGGGTTTAGAGGGTTTGCAGTTTTATTTTTTCCGGGGCTTTTGAGGCTTATACTGTGCTATACCTTGAGTTATGTCGTTGGGTTCTGCGATGTTCTGCGTGCTCTCAACTTCTCAGTGGCACAGACCCAGGCGCAAAGAGCGAAGCAAGTGAAGGGGCCCCATGTCATGGGACCTTCTGGCTTCGGTTTAGGGTTTCGGGTTTAGGGTTTAGGGTTTAGGGTTTAGGTCTTTTGTGTGGTTCAAGAGGGTTTAGGGTTTAGGGTTTGCTCTCACCCTTGCGATCAGAAGCTGCCACAGTGCATGCAAAGCTCAATGAACCTTTTCCTTCTCGTTCCTTGCTCTTCGTCGCTAATCCGTTTTAAACCAAAGGGGCTGGGGTTTGGGCCACCCGACTGTTCGGGGGAGGCGGGGGATCACTAAAGAGGGTGCAACAGTAGGGAAAGAAACCGCCAGAAAGCAATAATCATCACACTCCACACTATCATTCCTAGTGCCCAACACACGCCACACAGAGCTCAAGACTTAAACCCCCTGACCCCTGACCCCTGAGCCCTTAAACCCCTTAAACCCCTTAAACCCCTTAAACCCCCTAAACCCCCTTAAACCCCCTAAACCCCCTAAACCCCCTAAAACCCCCTTAAGCCCCCTTAAACCCTAAACACAAAGAGGCCATGTCAAGCCACAGAGTGAGTTCTTAGCCGCGCTTGGCAACTGCGGCGTGGCCACGGACTTTGTGGGGAAGACCGAGTCCTTCCAGCAGGCCGTGCCGGTTTGAGGGTTCGAGGTCGGGATTTGCGGCTTGCAGCGTTTAGTTAGGGTTTAGGGTTTAGGGTTTAGGGTTTAGGGTTTAGGGTTTGGGGTTTGGGGTTTGGGGTTTGGGGTTTGGGGTTTGGGGTTTGGGGTTTGGGGTTAGCGTTTAGGGTTCAGGGTTTTGGGTTTATTTTCAAAGCTTTGGGGGCACTTCAGGTCCTCTAAAACGTTTTGGGTCAAGGCTGAGAGTTCAGGGCACAGGTAGAGCCTCCTAGATCTCTAGACCTTGGCGAACCCTGCAATCCAACATGCAGCTCACAGCCACAGAATGTTGAATGTTGAACCCCCTAAACCCTAAACCCTAAACCCTAAACCCTAAACCTTCTTGGGCTCTGAAGTCTGTACACAGCATTCCCTCTTCAGTTGCCCCGTGGAGCATTGCTAGACGGGTGGCAAAAAAACCCTAAACCCTAAACCCTAAACCCTAAAACCCTAAATCCTTGGGGCATCGGAACCCAGAGAGCACACGACTTCCTTGAGTTAAGGGCAGTTAAGGGGAGATTATCCCTTTTGCCATACAGAGATCCTGACTGAGAATTAAGGTACCGCTCCTTTCTGGGAAGGCCTGGGCAGGAGGTTTTCACATACCCCAGACCCCAAACCCTGAACCCCCAAGTTCCCAAGCCCTAAACCCCAAATTCCCAAACCCTAAACCCCCAAATTCCCAAACCCTAAACCCCCAAACTCCCAAACCCTAACACCCAAGCAATAACCCTTAACCCCCAAACTCCCAAACCCTATCTCCCCAAGCCCTAAACCCTAAACCCCAAACTTCCACCCGCAAAAAAAAATTCCCAAAGCCTAAGCCCCATGAAGCCCTGGAGCTATGGCAACCCCTGGGGGAGGACTGGGCCTAGCCCTAAACCCTAAACCCTAAATACTAAACCCTAAACCCTAAACCCTAAACCCTAAACCCTAAACCCTAAGCAACCCCTGGGGAGGACTGGGCCCGCCTCGTGGCATCCCTGGGCTGCCCCGCAGCGCCCTTTGATGGATCCCTTGGCCCCTTTGCCTTCTGCTTACTGGCTGTCAGAAGGGACCGAGGTTTAGGGTTTAGGGTTTAGGGTTTGGGGTTTGGGGTTTAGGGTTTAGGGTTTAGGGTTTAGGGCCGAGTAGGGGGGATTCTGAGCGTTTAGGGTTTTGGGTTTAGGGTTTAGGGCTAGGCTTAATCGGATTTGAAAGGGTTTAGGATGTTCGGGGGGGGGGGGGGGGGGGGGCTGTAGGGGGGGAGAGGACGCAGGTCAGCGCCTCTAGGTTCATGGACAGGTGCCAGTTCTGTAGCTTTTCGCTGGCTGGCGAGCATCGACACTGCTAGATGCTTCAGACAGAAGCACAGAACCGTGCAGCTGCTGCTACTGCTGCTCTAACGCTGCGAGCCATGACAACTGACCAGCAGGCGCTTGATTGACTTGTGTTGTCCGGGCCACACCCAAGAAAGCCCTACACGCAAGAGGAGGCACCCCTAGAAGGGACCCTCAATCTTTTCCCCTATATAACCCCGTAAAGAAAAAATATATATATATATATGTATATATATATATATAAATATACACACACATATATATATATATATACACATTCATTTCTACATACCTTATATAGTCCTTATATACTGAAGTAGCCCCCAAATAACCCCTACATAACCCTTAAGGAAGGTCGCTCCTGTAGTCCCTTGATTTAGTGACTGAGGACTGCATCCCAATGTGCCTTGACTGCATTCATCAATCTGAGGCCTAGGCAGTAGGGACCCCAAACCCCTTAGGGTTTAGGGTTTAAGGGTTTAAGGGTTTAAGGGCTTAAGGGCTTAAGGGCTAGAGGGCTAGAGGGCTATAGGGCTATAGGGCTTTAGGGTTTAGGGTTTAGGGTTTAAGGGTTTAGGGTTTAGGCGCGCCCAAGTCCCAAAACCACAAGTTAAAGAGTTGCAAAGAACCCTATCAACGACTGTTAGTATAAGGGGGAACATTCCACATTAAAGAGATCAAAGACTGGCATCCGCAACCCTCCTTACAAGTTGAGGGGGCTTGTAAGGACCCATCGCACTCTTCACATATGGGCCCTTAATTGAGGAACCCGTGTATACCCCTCGGAAACCCTGTAAATCCCGAAAACACATTCTTCCGAACACTTTACAGCAGGTAAGGGACCACATTAAGGGACCATGCAACCTGCTTGAGACTAGAGGAGCGCCCGAAACTCGAGACCCAGAGTTCCTTTTTAGGGTTTAGGTTTTAGGCCCCCCCGCCCCCCTTGCCAAAAGCCTCAAACCCGAAACCGCACCATGATGAGTCGAGTGTAGGGTTGCAGGGTTTAGGGTTATAGGGTGCAGGGTTATAGGGTTTAGGGTTTAGGGTTTGCAGTGGTATAGCGCAGAAGTTGTGAAGGTTGGGATGCTCGATTGTGGCGGGTCATCTCACACGTGTATCCCACCCCACGCCGTCTCAGGCGGCAAAACCACCCTAACTTTCAGGATTTAGGCCCAAGCGCAAGTGCCTACTTCCAAGAAACTTCTTCCGTCCAGTAGGTGGTACGAATGGTACGCCAGGCTAGTTCCAGGAGGGGGGGGTCCGGCTTAAGACGGGGTCCCAGAGAGCCACCAAACTTAAACCTACCCAAAACCCAAAACCCAAAACCCTAAATCCCCAAACCTTAACCCCTAAACCGTGACAACGCCTAGGCGCCGCCCCACCCACTGTAGGGGGTCGGCCGAAGCCTTGAGTTTAGGGTGTAGGGTTTAGGGTTTAGGGTTTAGGGTTTAGCCATGTAGAGTGGCACCGACTGCGAGGATGCCCACGACAAGGAGGCGCTGCAGCGTGGGATCGGCTTCAATTTCTTCAAGATGAACTCCTCGCAGGCTTGGCGAGAGAGGGTTTAGGGTTTAGGGTTTAGGGTTTAGGGTTTAGGGTTTAGGGTTTAGGGTTTAGGGTTTAGGTCAATCGAGCTCCGGACGAGGTGGCAAGCCTGTTGCAAAAAGGGTTTAGGGTTTAGGGTTTAGTTTAGGGTTTAGGCCGTAGGGTCTAGGGTTATGGTTACAGAGTTACTCCCCACAAAGGAGAGGTGGTATCCTGTGTATACCCGAAATATGATAGAGCCCCCTTAAAGGCATCCCCCCCCCCCCCCCCCCCAAAGGGTAATACCACGAAATCTCGGAAGCCCCCTAGGATGGGACAGGACCGGCCTTTTCGGCTTCAGGGCTTAGGGTTTCGGATTTCTGGAGCAGAAGGGTTCCGGTTGTAACATGGGGATCGGAATAGCTACTAGTAGTACTCCCTTATGGTCCCCTCACATGTTTACTATGATAACCCCCAAACCCATTTTCTACTTATTGAGGCCCCTATAATAGGGCTGAAGGTTTAGGATGTCCTGACATGCCCAGAGACTCCAAAACCCCTTAATTAAGGTATATCCCTTAAATCATAATAGGAACCCTAAACCCTAAACCCTAAACCCTAAACCCTAAACCCTAATTTGGAGTCTCCTGGGTGAGAGCTTGTGAAGGATGCGTCGCAGTTGGATCGGCAGATGCATTCGATGGCGCTCACTGCGGCATTGGCCGATGGCGGCTCAATCTTGCCACAAAGGAAGGTTTTTGGTGGGTGTAGATGGGGGTGTTCCTTTCTTATACCAACAGTTCTTAATAGGGATAAGCATAGGCGGTTTTGTAATCCCTATGGTCTGTTGGTATAAGGGGTAACAGCCCAAGGTGTACTTTTCAGGGATTCGACTTCTTGATATGACTATCTCACATGTGGTGTAGGCTTGCGTCGCTATGCTATTGATTGAAATCTGCGACTTTCGACGAACTGTCGCATAGAAGGAGCCATAAGTAGGCCATTTCCATCATCTGGCTCCTTCTGATAACTCGGATGCACAATCCACAAGCTCGTGGATGCCCCAAAACCCTAATTCCGGATTCGTTAAACAAAAACGGGCACCTTTGCTTTCTTACCTTAAAGTGTCCAGGCACCCCTTCAGTCTTATCTACTTGGGGCTCAACCCTTCTTCCTGTATAGCTACTTTGTGGATCTGGGTTTTAAGTTAGAAGGGGCCCACGTACGTACATGGACCTAAGCCTAAGCCCTAAGCCCTAAACCCTAACCCCTAAACCCTAAACCCTAAACCCTAAACGCAGGGGCCTCTCCAGGCTTACAAGAGTAGACGTCAGGCATGAGCGCGGCAGCCAAGGTGACGGAGCATACTTACGCGGACTCTGTTGGCTTATGCTGCCTGCTGCTGGGCGGCGAGGGTTTAGGGTTTAGGGTTTAGGGTTTAGGGTTTAGGGTTTAGGGTTTAGGAGTTGTGTGCTCATGCGTGGGATGGGTGGTCTTATAGTGTATCTAGGACCCGGAGTAGGCCCTTCTTCCCTTTCTTTAGGGTTTCGCATCCCTTACAAACCCCTTTGAAACCAAAAGGGCACCCTTTTTATGCCTGGTTACTAGCTCTTGGGTCTAGGTATTAGAGTTGAGTTAGGGGTTTACATCTCAGGGACTGGAAGACGCAAATTCTAAACCTAAAAGTTCAAATGAACCTTCTAGAAAATCCAAATCAAAAGATTGAACCTCTACAAGGAGCAACTCGCATTCTTGTAGCTCAAAGAGACGAGGGCTTTAACGACTTTCGAGGCTTTATCGGCTTTTTAAAGCTGCCCCAGAAAACAAGCCTTATAAAGTAGTGGCGGCGCCTTTCTTAAGACCACAAGACGTTGAATTCAGCATTTGCGTAAGACTCGTGTGCACAGAATTTGTCACAATAAATAGTTACTCATCTTGCTCTTTGGGTGCTTCTTCAGCAGCCGATCGTGGCCAAACAGCCCTCACAGTGCCTCACAGATCTTGCCAATTGATGCCAATGAAGAAGGGCGACCGTATCGTGCTCACAACAGCAAAGCCACGGCCTGATTCAGACAAGGCCACTTGCATGTACTCGCACAAAGTCCCGGGTTTTTCGACTTTTAGTAGGCTAACCTGCAGCACCAGTTCCTGCCGTGCTGTCCCTAAACCTCAATTGGAGAGTCATGGGTACGTGCATCCCCAATTGCAAGTCTGCTTATGACTTCCTCAGAGGGAATTAGGGGGCTGAAGAATGCAGTTATAGGTACCCATGAACCTCCAAGCAAACCATGGACCCTGAACCCTAAACATGCTGTCTTTGAGCTTTCCCACGTAGAATGTGTCAGAACATGACCGCCCGCAGCACCCTAAACCCAAATCGGGAGTTTGAGAACATTGTGTTGTACTGTGGGGGTTCCTAAAGTAAGGATGATAGATAGTACTGTGGAGTATGGAAGGGGGTACCTGTATTCTGGGACAAAAACTCTAAACCCTAAGCCCTAAACCCTAAACCCTAAACCCCTGCAACGTTCTTGGGCTTCAGGACTACGCCATCTTCGACTACGAGCTCCCAGAGGGCTGCCGCCGAGGCAGCCTCCAACAGATCCCCGGACACCCCAGGAGTTTAGGGTTTCGGGTTTGGGGTTTAGGGTTTGGTGTTTAGGGTTTAGGGTTTGGGGTTTAGGTTTGGGGTTTAGGGTTTGGGGTTTAGGGTGTCGGGTTTGGGGTTTAGGGTTTGGGGTTTAGGGTTTCGGGTTTGGAGTTTAGGGTTTGGGGTTTAGGGTTTCGGGTTTACGGTTTCGGGTTTAGGGTTGTGGGGGGGGGTTCAGGGTTTAGCAAAAAAGTTGTGAGGTTTCTAGTTTCGGGCTTGGAAATATGAAGGGCAACTTCTTCATTCCCTTATAGGATGCTGGGGAACCTGTAAACCGTGAGCCCTAAACCCTAAAACCCGAAGCCCTACAGCCCCAATGCCCAAAAAAGCCCTAAAGCCCTAGAACCCTGAAACCCTAAACCCTACAAGCCCTAAAGCCCTAGAACCCTAAAGCCCTCAACCCAGGTTGGAACCACGGGCCCGGCGTTGTCCCTTACCCTTGTTTATATGGACCCGAGGTATGGGCCGTTATTTGTATATAGTGTATACAATTCAGGGTCAAATGCCCTCTTTGCCACGGGACTCGAAGTCTGGCCAGAACTTTCACCCTTCTATGCTGTTGGCTGAGGGGTGTGCATGCAACCTCGGGTGCAAAGCAAACAAGAAGCAATCACTACTTCGCTACCGCTACAGACTTGGACTGGGCCAACCATGTGGATCTCAGCGTTATAAACCCTAAGCCCTGCATGAACCCTGAACTCCGAAACTTAAGGGCCCGAAGTATGAGCCTTTAGTATATAGTGTATAGAAGTGTTATATGCCCTAAACCCTACACCCTAAACCCTAAACCCTACACCCTAAACCCTAAACCCTAAACCCTAAACCCTAAACCCTAAACTTAAGGGCCCCTTGCTTCGGATCCCCTCCCTGGGGGGCAGCCGAGGATCCTTACCGTCTTCCGAGGGCTCTCGGTGGGGGCTAGCCTCGGCCCTGCCAGCAGCGCCAGCACTGGCGAGGCGTGGCTCGATTGGTTTAGGGTTTAGAGTTTAGGGTTTGGGGTTTAGGGTTTAGGGTTTGGGGTTTAGGGTTTGGGGTTTAGGGTGCAGGGTTTGAGGTTTAGGTTTGGGGTTTGGGGTTTGGGGTTTAGGGTTTGGGGTTTAGGGTTTGGGGTTTAGGGTTTGGGGTTTAGGGTGCAGGGTTTGAGGTTTAGGTTTGGGGTTTGGGGTTTGGGGTGTAGGGTTTGAGGTTTAGGTTTGGGGTTTGGGGTTTGGGGTTTGGGGTTTGGGGTTTAGGGTTTGGGGTTTGGGGTTTGGGGTTTGGGGTTTAGGTGAAAGACTTCGGATACAGATGAGCATCTGATGTTTCCCGAAAAGAGGTCCCTTTAACAGATCCCCAAAATACCATAATCCTCATCATAGGAACACCCAAAAAGGCTACGAACCCCCCCTTGTTTGGGAAGCCATAAAAGTTCCCAACTTGCCGGCTCTTTTCCTGAGAGGTATGTTACAAGACAGCAGTGGCGCCTTCAAATCTCACCAATAGAGCACAGGGTCCAAGGGGACCCCCAAGCCACAAAGTTGAAACCTTGGAACCCCTTAACCCCCAAAAAAGGGTTCGCAGGAGTTGCGCAGAACTGGCCAAACCCAAAACCCTAAACCCTAAACCCTAAACCCTAAACCCTAAACATGCAGCCCTGGAGGCATCCCCAAAGCCGTTTGCTGCAGACGCCAGCGGCGCCCCTCCCACAACTGCCCAGGAACGCCACCCTGTGGTTTGGGGTTTAGGGTTTAGGGTTTAGGGTTTAGGGTTTGGGGTTTGGGGTTTAGGGTTTAGGTGTTAGGGTTGAAAGGTTTAGGGTTTAGGGGTTTAGGTTTTAGGGGTTTAGGGTTTAGTCTTTCTTTAGGGTTTAGGGTGTAGGGTTTAGGGTTTAGGCAGAGGGGAGGGAGGGGGTGAAACCTCCAATGTTCCGTGTTTAGGCTTTCGGAAAGAGGCAAAAGGGTGTTTTCAGGCGAGATAGGTTCAGACATAGGTCTTCCGGGTCGGGGCTCTCACGGTGAAGTTGCTGTTGCACTTTCTCGGGGATGTGCGCCGCACACTCACCCAACGATAGAACTATATCCTAAACGCACACACACACAGAGAGAGAGATAGGCAGATGCATGTATGTATGTATGTATGTATGTATGCATACGTTTTTTCTATAATGCCTGGCAAGGCCTATGGGTCAAACCCTTTTCAGGCTTCTTTTTGTCCTACAAGGTTAGACCCAGCTTTTTCAGGCTTTGCGCTTTGGGGGGAGAGGGGTTGGAGTTGAAAGCTTTGATTTTTATTGCTCCACCTTCAGCATGCTTGTCAGGTCGTGGGAGGAGGGCCTGACGTGCAAAGCAGGCCGGCATCGCCTCTTTCTCGCTCTCTCTCTCTCTCTCTTTTTGTTTTTTGGGTGGGTGGGGGGCGAAGGGCGGGGGTATTGGCCAACTGGTTCACCTCATACTCATATTGTCGGCTATAAATGAGTTTCAGAAGAAGCTCGCGATTGTGTCTTTGAGTGCGATTTAATGAGAGGTTGGGAACTGTTGGGCGCTGCTTTGCTTCATGAGAAGGGTTGCGACCTTAGTGCGTTGTGCGGGCTGAGCCAACAGCAACCAGCAACCAATTCTTGTGGCGCAAGCTGTGGAAGCGATTGGTGTTTGCGTGCTACAGCGAAAATAGGCATGGATAGGGTTGTGTGTAAGCATGTACTTCAGCAAGCACGGCTATCTATCTAGAACCAAGATGTGTACGTAATACAGTTATCCCCCTAGAATCCCTGCATAACTATAATGTAAACTACACCCCGCCCCACAGTTTCCCATGAATCTAACTCGTATATCATATTGGATGGGAAAACCGCTAAGCTCGAAGACGCATCATGCTTGGGAAGCCCTTCTTCCATGAGACCCTCGTGCATCCTAAACCCCAAACCCCAAACCCTAAGCCCTAAACCCTAAACCCTAAACCCTAAACCCTAAACTGAACCTCATCTGGGTCTGTTGCTTTAGGCTTCAGGGGTCGGGATGCCTGGACCAAAGAGTAGAACTGTTGGGCATTTGAGGAATGACTGTGATGCTGGATTTAGGGTTTAGGGTTTTAGGGTTTAGGGTTTAGGGCTCAGGAATGATGCAGGATTGGGGTTCCTACCCTAAGGCTCCAAGAAAACTCTTATTTAAGGGACCCTCAACCCTACACACCAGACCTTTCCAAAAACCTGCCTTTTTTGGTAGGGTACCTAAGAATCCTATATTGGGTTCTAGAAGAAGATCCTACAAAAAGGAGTAGGTTTTGGGGCTCTTAAGGCAAAAGCCCTAAACCCCAGCTCGCTGTAGCCCAAAAAACTCAACCCCTGGCCGCGAATCATGAGCATGAGCGACCTCCCCGCGGGCATGGGCGTCGATGATGCTCACTTTCGGGGTGGGGCAAGGGTAATCCAGGCGGGGGGCCTGATAACGCGACGGTACTTACGAGAAGATCTGCGTTTCTGACTCCCCTGGCCTCGGGTATGGGTCGCGGATGCTCTTGAGGGGTTTCGGAGACCCCCCAAAAAACAAATCAGTTACGTAGCTTGGGCCCGCCAGAAAACCCAAATTGGGTTTTGGGCTTCGGTTTCCTGCCTCCCTTAAATGCCCTAAATCCCAAAATCCGGGTTTTCTTCGATCTTGCATCCCAAACTCTAAACGCTTTCAACACTCCACTGCCTAGATCCTAGGCTAGTTAGACCCCAATCCCAGATCATGAAATCCTAAGATCTGAGTTTTGATTTCGATCCATGTACGGTCATGCAGGAGCCAAAGCAGCTACCAATACCAATCCCTGACATTCAAGCACGGAGTCCTACCGAAAATATCAGCGTACACATTCTCATGAAATTTGCCTCTAAACCCTAAACCCGAAACCCTAAACCCTAAACCCTAAACCCTAAACTAAGCACTTGTGGGGGGCGCCTGGGCGGTGGGGCATCGGTGCAGGTCTGCTCCCGATCAGAAAAGCAAGGCGGAGGCTTGC